CGATTTGCTCTCAAATTATTGATGAGGAAAAGCATATTCTTTCAACTCTTTACCTTTCTTATAAATTGTAAACTATTTCAGAAGAAGCATGTTAATTTAAAAAAATTACAGTAGCCTCATAAAATGAGCTGTGCAAGTGTTAAGTTTTCACAACTTTTTCTAGGTCTCTCCTGGAGATTGACTGAAAAAGAATTTTTTAACCTATCCTTCCTTACCTCTCCCCCACCCCACATGCCATTTCTACCGCTTGGGAAGTTACTCACTCTGGTACTATCTTTTGGTGGTCACTCTATAATTTATAACACTTAATTGAACAAATCCTGAAGTTAATCAATATCTCTATCCTCCTCTTAAACAATATGAGGACCTTGGGGCATTTTAACCTCAATCAACAACCCTGCTTTTTCCAACTTACATGATCTTTCCTAAGATCTACTGGCAGTAGTTTCTATGAACAACTGATGGACCATCTGCCCTGTACTTCACTTGCTCCTACTTGTCCTTCATTTCTCAGCTTAAACACCACTTCCTCTGAGAAGAGTTCCTTAGAGTTTGGGTGAATGGTCATCAGACTGGATTATTTTACACTTAGAAATGCCCAAAGACTTCTCAAGGGGGCACAGATATAATAGTTTTCAAGGAATCAATGTCCATATCCTCACCCTTTATATATACTCTTCCCTACCTTTGATCTGCCTGAGAACCAAGCCACCCACAAGCCTGAAGTACACGGTTAATTTTCTTTTTCTCCTTCACTTTCACTATTGCCATGTTCACACTTTATAAATAAAGGCATGTCTCTATTACCCGTCTATATTATTATGCTGTGCCCTGGAGTGTAAAGTCCTCTGGGACACCAAACATAATCAACAGTTCAAAATATTAACATCAGTGAAACTACCCTTTGTGCGTTTCCCTATATTGTTCATATTTCTCTAAAAGACAAAGGATTAGAAATGGAGTATTTTGGTGCATGGTGACATTGTTAATCATCAGACATAATTTGAAGTCAGACAATAGTAGAGTTGCCAGATTTAGCAAGTAAAAATACAGAAACCAACATAAATTTGAATTCCAGAAAACACAAAATCTTTTCACATAAGAATGCCCCAAATAAAACACTGAAAAATTATTAGTTTCTGAAGTTCAAATTTAACTGGGCATCCTGTGTTTTATATAGCAACCCTAGCAAAATTAAGAACAACTTTCATTTTTCTCTTTGACATTTTTAAATAATACAATGCTTCCAAGGGAAGGTTCTATCAGACCAAACCCAAAAATGTAGGTAAGAAGTTTTAGAGCAGTGGTGCTTTATTTCATCCAGGCTGCAAACTCAGGGCAAGAGTCTTTTCCTTATTTAGCATCTATCTTAGAATTAGAATTCAGAAATAATATGATCATCAGAGAGAGGTTTACTAACATGTTGGTTTGAAATGGAAAGTAAAGTCAGATTTGTTCTGATAAAATAAGTCAGATTTGGCTAAATGATTTAAAAATGAAAACGCACTTTGGCAATTAGGTTCCATGTGGAGACTTTTCAGAAATTAAATTCAAATCTTCAACTCCAGAGATTTGTATAAACCAACATATTATAAAATATAAATGTTATTAAAGATTTCATTGCTATTAGTATCTTCATTGTTAAAAGTTCACTGATATGTACGTTTAAGATGAGTGCACTTTGTGTGTATATCTCAATAAAAGAAGAAACAAACTTTGAAAAGGAATGTTGAAATTAACAATATATTTCCTGAGTTAAGTCACATCTAAGTGAAAGAATAACATATTTGGTTGTTTTTGGTAAGGCCTTTTTGAAAAACTTCCCAGAAATTAAGAAAGAAGATGATTCTAAAGACTGCATAGGAAATCCTTTCTCAAGACAAGTAGTCTCTAATTTTAGCAAAAAAAAAAAAGAAGAAAAAGATTGAAAATTCTAGTCAAATCCTCTATCAATCAGGAGAGATATGAGAGCTTTAAGGCTATAAGAGCAAAAAACTTCAAGAACCACTAAATTAAGTTGTATTTTCTCATAGCTACCTGGATTTTTTTCTGTCAACCAGATATGTAAATACATACTTATTTTATGTGACTATCTGATGTCTGTTTCTCCTACAACATCAAGTTTCATAGAAATAATACTGAGCATATTATTGTTCTTCAGTGAAATTTTAAATGAAAGATTGAATGAGCAAATGCATTACAGTGCAGGTGGTATTTGCAGTCCTAAGAGTAGATGAGATTACTCAGAACACATGAGCAGAGCAGAGGATGGAAGGCTGGAAAACAGCAGTGGATTAACAACTCCTTTTGGGGCCACAGCTGTGCGTTTGTCTTTATAGCTCTTTCCCTTTTCCTCATTTGTCCCTAACAACACAGCGTTTTGCACACAGAACAATTCTAAGTAAAAATACCCCTGATACACCAAACCAACCTAAGATCCAGAACAAAACTACTGTTAAGAGTGTTCTTCTCAGTGAAATGACCACCCTAGAAGACTGTGACTCATAATCTCTGTGTTTCATTGTCTTCACTGCCTTGTAGGAGAAACAGGTATCAGGTACATAAAATATAGTAGTTCCTGTTGCCCCTTCAAAGAAGTTGCATGTGATTTGTCCTCAGAACACACCCTTTAAGTATTAATTTTTCTTTTGTTATCATTCAGCTTAATAAATCATCCCTAAGTGCATCATGGACATCATACTACATGCTTTACTTGTGGGTAAGAATGTTTTTCCTCTAGTTCCCATATCCTCCAGTATCCTCAAGTCAGGGCCATTTTTTCTAGAACTTTAGCCCGATCCTAAAGTCAGGTCTCTTTTATTAGGTCCACTTGCTAGCACTTTAGCCCTAAGTGAATTAATATTGATGACTTAATTCAGTTTCTTTTCGATTTGACTGATTTCTGTCTTATCTGTTTTTTTAGGTGCCACCAGGGGGCAGGGTAAACTCAGTGATCTCCCTAAATGCCTCTGTATCTGCAGTCATTCTGTCACTAGGGGAAGATGATGTCTTTTCTACTTAAGATGCAATTAAACCTAACCTTTTTTTTAAAAATAATACCCAGTGTTAATGAGGACCTGGGGGAGCAGACACAACCATATACTTGCAGTGTTCACTGGGGCAGAAGTGCTCATTGGGACAACTTGACAACTGTATATCTGAAGCTTTAAAATTGTTTATATCCTTTGCTCTGGCATTCCTCTTTCTCAAAACCATTCTCCCACCCCCATTCATTTCTCCTATGGAAAATACTGTGGCTGGGAGGAAAGATTTACCTACAGAGACATTTAGTACAGTATTGATAAAAATAACAAAGTAGAAAATATAAAGGTCCAACAATAAAGGATTCAGATTACATCGTGGTTTCTTATTATGTAGCTGTTAAAAATGATATTGTTGGAATGTTTTCCAAAAACGTGGCATATGTATCACAGGATGTGGTACCCGGGATAATTTTAGGTGGTACATGAAAAGGTATCAGTTGTTTCCTTTTCCCTTGCCTACTCCCAACACTCGGAAACATTGTCCTGGCTCAGCATGGCCTCCTCTTGAACATCAAGGGCGCTAGGACGTCCCAAACTGGCCCACACGCTTCTTTTCCGCATCTTCCTAGAGAGCAATCTACCCTGTTTCTTCTTCAAGGAAGTGTAGAAGGAACTTCCCTGTTCCTCCCAGGCTTGGTCCTGCCATCACAGCCCCAGCAACCTTTCCTTTCCACACTGTCTTCCTCCCTCTAGCAGCTACACTCTCATTGCCTTCAAGTCCCTTTTCATAATATTCCCAGAAGCCCCCAACCCTGCCCCTTCTCCAGAATTCCAGGCGTAAGACTGAATTAAGCCCTTAAGGATGAGGAGAAGTTGGCCAGGCAGAGACAGAGGATATGGTGATGTGTCAAGATAATATAGATCAAGGCAAATAAGAAAAAAAGGCATGAAATACTCAAGGAACTAAAATCCAGTCAGTGGCACCTAAGGGTAAACTGAGAAGCTTATTCAGAGATGCAGCAAAAGGGAGGACAGAGCAATGTTGAGTTCATTTGAGCTTCATCCTAGAACTGATGGCAGGCCTTTTAAGGAGTAATGAAGTCAAATCACAGTTTTATGCAAAGATGGATTTGTGGGAAGAAGGATTTTTGCAATAACAGATATGAGACATGAAAGAGCTTGAGCAAGAGTGGAGGTAGGAAATAGAAGATGGGCCAGACCCATGATGATTTAGAACATCAAGTTAACAGGACTTTGTGACTATGGACGTAGACCTGTATTAATTTAGATAAGGAACCAGAGTCGTATCTATCTCACTGCTGGTATCTCTTGCACCTAGCACAGTGCACTGCACACAGGTACTCAATAAGTATTTCTTAATTAGGAATTAATGTGTGCTAAGTTGGCATCACTGTATATGCAGCAAACTCACTTCTAAGATACCATCAATTTTTAAATATACCATTGATTTCATTTTCTGAGGAATCAGAAGGGTTAAAATGCAAAATAACTGCAGATCTTACCATTGAGAAGTTTATTTCCCTTCCTTTCAAATGTGGGCTGGCCTTCACTTTAGCCAGCAGAATTCCTAATAGGAGAAGGATTAAAATGAGAAGGAAAAGAATCTCTTCCAATTGAGTAATTAGCAGTTAGCATAAATTTAAATATTGGTGATAATTTGTGAGATAATATGTAATTGAGGATTCCTCAAAAAAAAGTGGAATACTATTTAAACAAATTTAGTGATTATGTAGAATTAAAACTGTTGGCAATGTCAACTTAATTTAGAAGAAGAGGAGCATGGATAAGGATGAAGTTAAACCTTATTAAAAGAATTACCTTATTTGGTATGATGAGATATTTGGTATTGAATTGCTTTAGACAAAATTTAAAAACACAAGTATAAATAGGCTTATTGATTGATTTAAAATATAAAGGTACAAACCCTACATTTGAAAAAAGAATACAATTCAGCTATGAGACTTATAAAATACCAAAACACCACATATACAAAGATTGCATTTGAAGAGATAAGATGTATATTATATGTATCAGTTATCTATTGCCACAATAATGCTGTGTAACATACAACCAAATAAAAAAATGAGCAAGTCTGGATTCCAGAGTCTACAGGTCATCTCAATTCTTCTAGGCCCTCTCACATGGATGGGGTCCTCTGGTAGGTCATCTGTGGGTTGGCCTTGTTCTCTCACATATTTGGGGCTTTGGCTTTTGGCTCAGCTCTTCCCTCATGGTCTCCATCATACAGCAGGCTAGTACGGACTTGTACACATGGCAATAGCAGGTTCTCAGAGAGACAGAGTAGGAGAGTACACTCCTTTTCAGGTCAAGGTTCAAAGCTCTTCAGTCATTCTGCAAAAATGTATGATACAGAAAGGCATAAAGATAAGAGATGTCTTTACAATTAATCTATCGCATCATGAAAATTCTAATTGAGGTTAATAGGAAAATAGGAAGAAAAAATAGGAAAATAGGATGAGAAAAAAGATACAGAACATAAGAAATAATTAGCAGATGGTAGATATAAACCCAACTGTATCAATAAATACATTAAATACAAATGGTCTAAACATTCCAGTTGAAGACACAGATTGTCAGATTGGATAAAAAAAAAAGAATCAGTTATATGATACCTAAGAGAAACCCACTTAAAATATAAAGACACAAGTAGGTTCAAAGTAAAGTGATAGAAAAACATATACCATGCCTAGACCATCCAAAGAAAGCTGGAGTGGCATAGTAACATCAAATAAACTAGATTTCAGAGCAAGGGATATTACTAGGAATAGAGAGTAATTGCATAATGATGTACAAGTCAGTTCATTAAGAGGACATAACAGTCTTCAGTGTGTATGCAAACACTGACAGTTTCAAAATACCTGAGGCAAAAACTGTTAGAAATGAAAAGAGAAATGGAAAAATTAATAATTTTAGTCAGAGATTTTAATAGTAATAGACCAAGTAAAAAGTAAACAAGTGGAAGTATAAAACACCTTCATAATATTGCTAATCAACTTGACCTATTTGCCATTTAATGAAAATTCCACCTAACAATAGCAGAATACACCATCTTTTCAAGTGCACAAAAAACATTTACCAAAATAAGCCATGTTCTGGACCATAAAACAAGTCTCTGTAAATTTAGAAGAATTCAAGTCTTACAAAATGTTATGACCACAGTAGAATTAAATTAGAAATCAACTGATACCTACCTGGAGAAACTCTTAAGTATTTGGAAATGAAACACATTTCTAAATAACTGAGGGCTAAAGAAGACATCACAAGGGAAATTATCTTGAACCAAATGAAAATTTAAAAGCATATCAAAATTTATGGGATACATCTAAAGCACAGTGTTCTCAGGGAGATTTATATTATTAAATGCTCTCAAATTAATGTTATAAACTTTCACTTAAAGACACTAAAAGAAAGTAAATTGAATCCATAGGCATAAGGAAGGAAATAATAAAAATCAGAAATTTTTTAAGAAGAAAATAAGTAACAGAAAAATCAATGAAATCAAAACCTGGTTAATTTAAAAGACCAATAAAATTGACAAATTTTACAAAGACTAATGAAGTACAAAAGAAAGAAGACAAATCAGAAATGATAAAGGGGACAACACTACAGATACTGCATATTTTTAAATAATAAGGGAATATTATGAGCACTTTATGCCATTTAGATGAAATTGACAAATTCCTTGAAAGACAAACTACCAAAGATCACTCAAGAGAAACTGATAACCTGACTAGCCTGAGACCATTTAAATAAGTTGAATTTGTAGATAAAAACTTCCCCACAAAGAAAACTCTGGGTGCAGATGTCTTCATTGGTATATGATACCAAACATTTTTGTAACAAATAATACCAATCCTATGTAAAATCTTTCCAAAAATAGAACAGGAGGATATGCTTCACAGTTTGTTTTATGAGGCAAGCATTACTCTGTTTCCAAAACCAGATAAACCACTAGAAGAAAACTATAAGCCAGCCAATATCCTTCATTAACATGAATGTGAACATCCTTCACAAAATATTAGCATTTCAAATCCAGAAATATATAAAGGGAAATACCATGTGGGATTTCTCATGGGAAGGCAAAGTTGGTTTCACATTTTAAAAATCTATCCATGTACTTCACTAAATTAATAAATTAAAATAGGAAAACTACATAATCATCTTAATAAAGGCAGAAACTCTATTTGACAAAATTCATCTCTCATTCATTATAAAAACTCCAAACTAGGAATAGAGGGAAACTTTCTCAGTTCAATAAAAAGCATCTACAGAATCTGACAACTAATGTCATATTTAGTGAAAAAAACTGAATGTGTTCTTTATAGGATCAGAAAAAAAAGAGAGACGTTCAAGCTTCCCATTTTTATTAATCATTGTGGTGAAGGTTCTACCCAGTTTAAAAGAGCAAGAAAAAGAAATAAATTCATCCAGCCTGGAAAAGAAGCAAAGTTGTCTTTAGTCACAGATAATATAATCCTGTATGTAGAAAATACTAAGGAATCCACAAATTAACTGTTAAAATTTATAAGCTAATTTGGTAGGTATCAAGAATACAACATCAATATTAAAAAATCATTTACATATGTTGGCATTGAACAATTCAAATTTGAAATTTTAAGAACTACTTTAATAGCATCAGTAGTATGAACCAGAGATAAATTTAACAAATATATATGCAATACCTGTATACTGGGAATTACAAGATATTTTTGAGAGAAATTCAAGACCTAAATAAATGACAAGATAGTCCATGGATCTTATTTTTTTTAAATCTCAATTCTCCTCAAATTGATCAATAGATTCAACACACTCTCAATCAAAGTAACAACAGGCTTTAAAAATAAAAAAGTTGAAAGATTTACCCAACCAGATTTCAAGAATTAAAACTATAAACCTACATAGACAAAACAATGATTGATGCAGACACAGAGATCCATGGAACAGAACATTCTTTTAACAAGGGAATTCCACTCAGCACTAAAATGAAACAAATTACAGATACATGTAACAACATGGATATATCTCAACAGCATTATCCTAACTGAAACTAGCAATACCCAAAATACTACATGCTGTTTGTATATACATTTACATGAAATTTTAGAAAAAGCTGAGCGTTTTTTAGATTAGTGGTTATTACCAGGTCTCATGGATAAAAGGGAGGAAATGACTACAGAAGGGTATGAGGGAACTTTTGTGGCAGTTGAAATTGTCTTGATTATGTTTGTGGTTACTCTGCTAAATACGTTTACCAAAAGTCATTGAATTATACATTTAAAATTAGTGAATTTTCTTGTATGTGAATTGCACCTCAACAAACTGACAATAAAGATGGAACCTTTTAGTCATTCAAAAATAATAAAGAACAAGAATTAATTAAATAGAAAAAAAAACAATAAATCCATATCTTTGATAAAAACTAATAAGGTGGACAGACCTCTTACAGGACTGACCAAGGAAAGAAAAGACATAAAAGATATTACAGGGCAAAGGGACCTGAAATGCAGATAAGATTGAATATTCAGCAGTGAAAATGAATGAACTGAGTCTATATATACCTAAAAATCTTGAAAATATAACTTGAAATTAAAATTTAGTTAACAAAAGGATATGTACAATATTATGCATTTGTGTAAATGTTAAAAAACACTATATACATGCATTCATATATAGAAAAATCTTTATTTTAATTTTAAATTTCATTTTTCATTCTCATTTAATACATGAGAATTTTACTGCCAATTTATTGACTTCAAGATATTGGTTTCCTCTGGGAGGAGGGACATTGAAGGAATTGAGGGGGTGTGCAAAGGAGATTTTAGCTAGCTATATCTTTAATGTTGTTTAATTTGTGTCCCAGAGAAAATGACAAAGAGACAGAATTGAGGGCAAAAAAAGAAAAATGTTATTATCTTTTAGGCATTATGGGGAGTACATGTAGGTGTTTGTTATATTATTTTCTGTAGTTTTTATGTGTTTGAAATGTTTTGTAATTTGAAATTACTTCGAGATTGAATAAAACCAGCTATACTACAAACTCCACATAGCAAAGTTCACTGTATAGCCATCATATTCCTGATTAAGCTCACAATTGACATAGTTACCAGATTTACAGAAGAGCCAATATATATTAGCTCTTTCAGAAAACTTGCTCAGAGGTATTGACAAACAGGATCACTGCAGTGGTTTCTCAGTTGCAATTCTTTACTGATTCCTTGGAGGGTGCCAGACTTAACACTAATGACCCACTGGATGATGGCAGCATGTTACTAAATAAATAACTACTGTTAAATTCAGTGTTATGATTAAATTATTGCTAAGGGTGAGTGAGTGCCTTATGATATGGACATTGCAAATGAGAACAGAGAAATATCTGTGCTTAGAGAGGAGGATTTAGTATAATAAAAACCCAGCCAGTAATCAATTGGATTATGTTCTCCCCCTACTTTAATACTGATCCCATTGTGTCATCATTGCCTGTCTGTCTTGCATGCTTGGTTCACAGTAGGCACATTATAAATAACTGTTGACTGGTGATTAGTTTCTAGGAAATGAAATTCTGCAAATAGAGGGATTGCCCCTCTTTATCCCCAGCTCCAGAAATCATGGACCTAGCATGAGTTAGGCATCATCAAACATTTATTGAATGAGGGATGGAAAAGCTAAAGATGCTGTGCTTCCATAAAAATTTCCCAGATCTCTCCAGCCAGAAAGATCTCTTCCTCTCGATTTTGTATCCTCTTAGAATATTGAATATCTTTTCTTACAGATACTTGTATTTATGTCTCATTTCCTATTTAAACTTTTTAAGTTTCCTAAAAGCAGGGACTGTTTCCTTTTTTTAGTTTATTACAGAGTGATAGAATATGGAAAGGAAAATATGTCTTAAAGCTATAATCAACTCTTTCTACACTTCTCTAAGTTCAGCAGAATTATACTGAACTTAAAGTATACAACTTCAAACCATTTGAAATGAATTCCACTTCTATGTATTAAGTTAGCTGGTAGCAAAGGCATGGACGACAATGTCATGCATACCACCTACAGAGGAGCTAGAGCGCCTGTTTGCTCAGCTTTTTCCCATTAAACACCAGTAAACAAAGACAGCGAGCTGCCAAACATTTTCTAGGTCATTTGCTCTATTTGTAAACAGAAAGTGTGCAATGATTAACAAGAGGTGATCATTTGCAAACTGGTTTTATGCAGAATGAAAGAATTTTAAAAAAAGAGGAGGGAAATTAATGCAAGTCTTAAATGCTGAATGACCCCATTAATTGAGAGATAGGTAATTAGAGAAATTAAACAAAAGAGGTAATGGCCTTGGAGCCATGAATCTAACCCGGGAGTACTGTTCATGTTTACCAGGTGATTTTCTTCTGAATTAAGAGCTGAGAGTCTGCCTGTCTAATTTTACACAATAGTTCTTGAGTCGGCTACTCATAAGAATCACTTGGAAAGCTTTTGAACAACACAGATCCCTGGATTCTCTTCATACTTCCTGAATCAGAAACTTAGGGGTGGGACTCAGGCATAAGGACTTTTAAAAAGCTGATCAAATGATTTATTTTCTATATAAAAAGCTACCCAGGTTTGGACATCATTGCTTTAGAACAAGGTTTCTCAATCTTGAAACTATTAGCATTTTTCATGGCTAATTGTGAAGGCTGCCCTGTATATTATATGATGTCTAGCAGGATCTCTGGCCTCTACCCACCAGGTACCAGTAGCACCCACCCTGCCCCAAGTCGTAGAAAAAAAATTCTCAAGACAGTACCAGATTTCTGTGGCAGGTTAAATCATGACCATTTGAGAACCACTGCTAAATGTACAGCACAGTAGTCACACGTGCAACATAGTAGCCTCAGACAGCTGAGGACCTGAATTTCAGATTTCATTTTAATTAATTTAATTGTAAAAATCACATGTAACTAATGGCTGTCATATTGGATGGCACAGCTTTTACAAGATTCAGATATGACTGAAATCTATACAATTTCTCCTTAAATGCTTCTGGGACATGCCATGCAAAAATAATATATAAGGCTAGAAAATCTACTTGCCTTCCTGCCTGAATCAGAAAACATTTGGGGATGTTATAACTAATGTTTACTCCAAGTTTTACTGTCCAAGTGTTACCCTGAAAAGGTATTTTTGTTATCATCTGGAATCCTCTGAATATCCAATAATATCAAGACGTTGTCAAAATGAAAGCAGTCTGGCTGGATTCAATCCCTTTCAGTCCAATTCTGATCTCCTTTTATTCTCAGTCCTTAACGTTCTCTTAGGAAAAATTCCCATTGTTGTCTAGTTTTTCTCAATATTAACAGGTTAGAGTTTCCATGTGATCCAGAAATTCCATCCCTAGATATATACCCGGAGATGAAAACACTTGAATATGAATGTTCATAGTTGCATTGCTTTTCCCAGTTTTGAAATATGGTTGGAAAACAGCATTAAATAAGTAATTACATATATTGTGAAATGCTTACCACAAATAGTTAACATCCATCATTTCACATAGGAACCAAAAAATAGCAAATGAAAAAAATTTTTCTTGCTCATGATGAGTACTCTTACAATTTACTCTCTTCACAATTTTCATATATAATATAGCAATGTTAACTACAGTCAACATGTTGTACATTGCATCCCTACTACTTAATCTTATAACTGGGAGTTTGTACCTTTAACCACCTTCATCCAATGCCCCTTCCTCCACACCCTACTTCTGGTAACAATCAAATATGGTTTTTTCTATGAGATTTCTTTTTTTAGATTCTACATATAAGTGAGATCATATAGTATTTCTCTTTCTCTGACTTATTTCACTTAGAACAATGCCCTCAAGTTCCAGCCATCTTATAGCAAATGGTAGGATTTTCTCCTTTTTGTGATTGAATAATATTCCATTGCATATATATATATATACACACCGCATCATCTTTATCTACTCAACTGTTGATGAACACTTAGATTACAACTGTATCTTGGCTATTATAAATAATGCTGCACAGCCACATTATTCAAATAGTCAAAAAGTGGAAATAATAGTCAAATAATAGTCAAGAAGTAGAAATAATCCAAATGTCAGACAATTGGTGAATGAATAAACAAAATCTAGTATATCCATAAATGGAATATTATTTGGCAATAACAAGAAATGAAGTGCTGGTACGAACAATAGGATGAACGTTACAGACATTATGTGATGAGAGAACACAAAAGACCACTTATCATATAATTCCATTTATATGGAATGTGTGTAATAAGCAAATCTATAGAGATAGAAAATAGGTTGGTGATTGCCTAGGGCTATGGGGAAATCAGGATATTGGGTGGCAATGGCTAATGGGTACAGGGTTTCTTTTTGGTATAATGAAAATGTTCTAAAATAGATTGTGGTGATGGCTATACAATCCTGTGATTATACTAAAAATTATTGAATTATATACTTTAATTGGGTGAATTGTATGGTATGAGAATTATATCTCAATAGAACTGTTAAGAACTCTGTCAGTGTTCTGTGCTCATAGATGGAAAGAATTAATATTGTCAAAATGGCCATCCTGCCCAAAGCAATTTACAGATTCATGGCAATCCCTATCAAAATACCAACAGTATTCTTCAGTGAACTAGAACAAATATTTCTAAAATTCATATGGAACCACAATAGAGCCTGAATAGCCAAAGCAATCCTGAGAAAGAAGAGCAAAGTTAGAGGGATTATGCTCCCTGACTTCAAGATCTACTACAAAGCCACAGTAATCAAAACAATGTGGTATGGGCACAAGAACAGGCCCATAGATCAGTGGAACAGAGTAGAGAGCCCAGACATAACACCCATGTATATATGGTCAATTAATACATGGTACAGGAACCATGAACATATAATGGGGAAAAGACAGCTTGTTCAACAACTGATGTTGGAAAAACTGGACAACTATATGTAAGAGAATGAAACTGGATTATTGTTTAACTCCATACACAAAAGTAAACTTGAAGTGAATCAAAGACCTGAATGTAAGTCATGAAACCATAAAGCTCTTAGAAGAAAACATAGGAAAAAATCTCTTGAATATAAGCATGAGCAACTTTTTCCTGAACACATCTCCTCAGGCAGAGGAAACAAAATAAAAAATGAGCAAGTGGGACTACATCAAACTGAAAAGCTTCTGTACAGAAAAGAACCCCATTAGCAGAACAAAAAGGCACCCTACAGTATGGGGGAATATATCCATAAATAACTCATCTGATAAGGTGCTAACATCCAAAATATATAAAGAACTCATACTCTTCAACACCCAAAAAACAAATAACCCAATTAAGAAATGGGTGGAGGACCTGAACAGACACTTCTCCAAAGAAGAAATACAAATGGCCAATAGGCACATGAAAAGGTTCTCCACATGACTAATCATCAGGGAAATGCAAATTAAATCCACAATGAGATTTGGATACATTAGGATGGCTACTATCCAAAAGACAAGAAATAACAAATGCTGGTATGGATGCAGAGAAATGGGAATCTTCCTACACTGTTGGTGGGAATGTAAATTTATGCAACCATTGTGGAAAGTAATATGGAGGTTCCTCAAAAAAAAACTAAAAATAGAAATACCATTCAACCCAGTAATTCCCCTCCTAGGAATTTCCCCCAAAAAAACAAAGTCCCTGATTCCAAAAGACATATGCACCCTTATGTTTATCACTGTACTTTTTGCAATAGCCAAGATATGGAAGCAACCTAAGTGTCCATCATTAGATGAATGCATAAAGAGGATGTGGTATATATACACAATGGAATACTATTCAGCCATAAAAAGAAAAGAAATCCTCCCAGTTGCAACAACATGGATAGATCTAGAGGGTATTATGCTCAGTAAAATAAGCCAGGCAGAGAAAGACAAATACCAAATGATCTCACTTACCTGTGAAGTATTAAAACAAAGCTAAACAGAAAGAACAAAATAGCCGTAGACTCATAGACACCAAGAAGGGACTTGTGGTTACCAGGGGGAGGGGATGGGATTGGGGTGGAGGGGTGAGGGAAGAGGATAAAAGACCACAATAACTCATAATCATGATATAAGTTGGTCACAGGGATGTAGTACAGCCCAGAGAATACAGTTAATGACCCTGTAACATCTTACTAGGTTGATAGATAGTGACCACACTAAAAGAGGTGAGGATTTAATAATATGGGTAACTTGAACCACTGTGTTGTATAATTAAAACCAACATAAGATTGCATATCAATGAAACTTTAATGTAAAAAAAAGCTCAGTGTAATTTACCACATTAGCAGATCTAACAAAAAAAACCTGTGTGATCATATCAATTGGTGAATAATATTTATTTTTGAAATGGAAGTAGCTTTGGATAATGTTATTATCTTAAAATGGTCTGTCCACTGGCTACCACTATTGTCATTTCTAAGACAGCTGAAGTGACCCTACATTATGTGTAAACTCAGGCTGAAAATCCTGCGAATCGCCCTTACTCAACAACAAATCATTTCCCTCTAGAGACCCACTGTAGAACAGTGAACGCATACAGAGGATACTCTAGGCATACCCCCAGCCCACAATTAAAAGGGTCCATCCTTGTAACTCCTGAGCTTCTTTGACCTCTTAATCCAGAGGAATAATGGATGCATGAACATTGCCAATGAGGTAAGATAAAAGGGTAAGAAGTTTCCAATATCCAGCCTAATTTTGACATGAGTGAGGCTAATCAGACCCTGCCCTGGATGTAAAGTACAAAGCTGTGAAAGAGAAACAGCTTCATCAGGCAATTAGAAGGTGGCATTCACTTTTAGGTCTTTAGCTCTCCAAACAGCCCATTCCCCAGTTTTCAGCTCCCCTGGCTCAGACAACTTTACAAGAAATGAAAAATATATCTAGGTTTTTAGTTATAAAACTTAATACAAAAAATAACTGCCAGGCTCACATCACTCAGGAGAGCTCCTGGAAGTATGCAGAAAACAAGGAAGGGAAAATAGCGAATATCAAGTGAGGCAAAATCTTGCATTATGTAAACCAGATGAAATAGTGTCACATAAAGTCAAACAGTTTGTCTAGGTGGTGAGATAAAGATCTGTTAAGAATTATATAAAGAAAAGTACAGGTTCAGATAGAATGACAGCAAAGAACAGGCTTTTTAAAGGAAAACATATATGGAGGAATAACCATAGGTTAAAAAGCAGTGACACTGACCTGTGTCTGAGCAATGACATATTTCTGACCATTCTCCCATTCATTGAGGATGCAGATGAATAAATACATACAGATTTTATGAGAAAAGCTAAATCCTTTGGTTCTGGGATGAGTCTGATGTATTTGGAAAGCTAATGTCATCTTCAAGACAAGATGTCCCAACTGTACTCTCAATTTCTTATAACTAGCTATCGTGGCAGCCTTCCCTGGCCCTCACTGGCTGGCTGGACGAGGTGTCCCTCTTCTGTGTTCTGACAGCACCCTGGATATACTCTTAGTATAGCACTTAAATAATTTTAAGATTGTCATTTTTTATCTGCTTTCCCCACTAGACAATGAACTTCTCAAGAACCAAGACAATGTTTGTGTGGTTTTCAAGTTTCAGGGACTTTTTATCAGAGTTTCTAAGGCAGGCACAGCTTCTCTGCAGGGTATTGTTTCATTTTCAGATGTTCCGTAGACCACTTGGCTCCTTCCCAGATAAGATCATTCAAATGTTCACACCATACCTGCGGAATCTGCCACAAGACTTTGTGGTAAATCAGATTGTCATACGATACTCGGTTCCACTAGTATTCGGGCTGGGCTCTGGAATAGACACCTTATACCAAAACACTCACTAAAGTGGGTTTAGTGTCACTTGGCTTCAAGTCAGATGTTTTTCAGAATAGCACTGTCACATGGAGCGCTCCCCCAGTCCAGCCCCAGCTGAGCTTTATCTGTGATTTCAGCCATGTTCATGTGAGATGCTAAAGAAACAAATTGCTTGGGGACACCCATGGGTCTGATAGAATTCAAGCACCTTCCCTGTTGCCTATCTTCATGGGAAGGGTGTGCGGCAGGCATGGTAATACAGCCATTGAAGATTCTGATTTATGCCCCAGATCATGTTCCAAGATCCCAGATAAAGAATCAGAAACTGAATTATGTTCCTTGTATGTTCTAGATCATCAGACCTAATCCCAGATCTTCTCCTTTTTGTTCATTTACTTTGTTTTTTACTCATTTTCTTTCTCTGAGTAAAACTTTTCAATTGCAACATTCTAATCAATTGCCTGGATAAGAAGTGTGTTTTCACCAATGCTCCATGTTAGGATCTTTCCATTTCTACCACTTAAGTCACAACATAGTCTCTTTTTTTCTGGACTACCTGGGTAGTCTTTTCTCTGCAGACACTATGTCAGTTTGAAAAAAAGAAAACAATGAAGTCCATGGGTGACCCCACAGAGCGTCATCCTGTTTGAGCCAGTCATGGTCTCCAGAGCTATAAAAAGACATTTTTGGATCTACTCCGGGCTCTGCTGCCGAGGCTTCTGGGATTAGAGACCAGCAGACAGAAATGCACTGTTCTTTATTTCAGGGAACACACATAGGTGGACTTTGGAGTGAAGAAATCGTATTTGTTGAAACCTTTGCCCAGAGTTATAAATCTATTAGCCGCGTGGCAGGGATGTCTCTGACTCTGGAACAAAGAACAAAGAGCATTATAATTAGTCACACTGAGGAAAACAGCGAAGGAGACTCCATGAGAGTGTTAATAATGTACCTCCGTCCCTTTACCTCACTGTGGGACCCCCCTCCCTGCCTTCCCTTAAACTCCTCAGGTAGAGATTTCTTGGAGCATTCCAGCTCCAAGTCTGGGGGTTTTAAACAATATAACTACTATCAAAATCATTCCTCTGAGCCCTACAGATCTATTTTTAATGATAATGAGTTAGATCTTCCATGGAGTCATAAAACCTCAGTGCAGGAAACAACCTAGAAGTCACAGGGTTTCACTTCAGTGTCGAGATGAGGGAGTGACTGAGATCCTAGGTCAAAACTCTTCAGAAATCCAAAAATCCCCATGACCTGGCTGGATTCTTACAACATTTATCTGATTCATAAATATAATAAATTTCATAGTAGAAAAAATTTTAATTATATGAAAGTATAAAAAAGAAAAACATTTTCATAATCCCACCACAACACATTTTGTTCACCATGCTTTTTTGTAATTAAAGATAAAATTAATATGTTAAATCTCACAGAATAAAATAGAAAAATATAGATTTTTACTTGCAATGTTTAAATCCTGAATTTTGCGATTTATTACATAAAAAAGCAACACATGCTTGGACAGGGACCTCGTTCAAGATAGACACTATATTAGGGGGAAAAATTGTGAAATCGAGCCAGCACTCTGAAAGAGTGCACAGCATGACACTCTCCATGAAGATCCAGGTGGTGTCAAGGGAACCCTGCACTCCTAAGTGGCCAAATCCTGCTATCGTCACTTGCAGGGCACAGCCTATAATCAGTGGAGGAATTCCAGAGGTGTGTCATATTACCCCGGAGTTCTTTCTACAGACACTAAAATGCAGCGATTAAATTTGAGAGAAAGCAATGTAGAGTGAAAACCAAGTGGTTGAGGTTTGTGCATTTGTGTGAAACTTGTACCTAGTAGGGCTGCCAATAGAGATAAAGAGGCAGATGATCTGCTGCCCTGCAGAGATAAAGAGTCAGATCTTTAGAGGGAAATTTCTAACATTATGTGAAGTTATCCAGGCTTAGAAGGGAGTTCTGGTGAGAATGAGGATCAACTAAGTGCCAAGCCAGGTTCTGCTGGCCTTAACTCCATGTATTTACTGAGACCATACCTGGTTTGGAGTGCTCTTAAGTTGTTCTGCAAACTCCGCAGACTCTGTGGGACATTTGAAGGCAGGTCTACTTACAAAGACGGTTCCCTGGATCTAGGACTAATGGATACACCATTGCCCATTTCATCTTCTTTCCACGGCATTCTTCAACTTCCATCTCTGAAATGTAAAAGAGAAATAATGGGCACCTCTCCTGGCTTCAGTTTCATAATCTGCTCAGTAACAGCGTTGGTTGGTCAGGATCATGACCCAGCTCCGCATTCCCTGCTCTCTGGCTCTAAGACTAACCGTCCTGCATTAGGCAGAGGCAGTGTGATCACTACTCCAGGTCAACAGCGCTGCTATTTACTAAAGCGATGCCTCGGTGATTACTCCTCCAAACCCAGGTCTGCACCTGTCATTCACAGCATAGGAGGTAAGGGCCCCAACAAGGAGACTTCAAAGAAGAGGAAAGAAAAAAAAAAGAAAGAGGATGTAGGTGAGACAGTACTTTTATTTTTATGGGTTTTTTTAAAAATAATTTGCTTCTTATTTTATCTTTGTTAGTTTCAGATGCATAGTACTTTTTACCTTATTACCACTTTTGTTTGCATACCACATTACCTCAATTTTTCAGCAACCATTTTGTTAAATGATTTCTAGAATAGTTTTTCTTTAATTTCCGCATTATCCTAAAAAGGTCTTTAAATTGCTTGGGATGCATGCTACTTCTCAAAACGGGTTATTACTTAGTTTCGAACAACTGTGAGGTGAGAAGTTCTGATTCTTCCTTTTGAATAATGAGGAAACTAAAACACATGGATATTAAACATATGTAAGGAGCTGAATAAGTCTTGCTTTCAGGGTCATTAAGACGTACAGTTCAGCAGGGGAAGGCAAGGACTGCCCAGCATGAGTGAAATCATGTGCACTTTTAAATACCCTACAGACTGCTGCTCTGAGGCAGATAGCTGACTGATGGCAACATCTGGATAAATACCCAGAGAATTTTATATCACTACTAGCTGGCTTTCTTTTAGGCTTGCTATCTTAAACCAGCAACCTTGTCTCTTCTTTATGCTACGGCACTGACAACTCATAAAGGTTAGACATTGGAACTGTCCCTTTAATCTCAGGCCAAAATGGCAACCCCTTCAAATCTCCCTAGGGAGCAGAGTGAAATCAAATGAATGGTGTTACAGAAAAGTCAGCTGCCCAATGGGTGGCTCAGGACCCCAGGTGAGGTACGTCACCTCTGACCTCTCCCTTGATGCTCTGGTGAATGAAGTCTGAGGGTATGAAATGGAACTAAGTGAAGGGACCTGAATCTTCCAGAAAATCAAGGATGAAGGGGTCAAGAAAACAAGATCCATCCCCAAATATGAAAGAACACCTTTTTTCAGTAATACAGATACACTGGTAGAATCTGTGTTATAGAATCAGAGAACTCAAAGACACTATGTGAAATCAAGTTTATCCCCTGCTTTCAAACAATTAACAAGGATTCATGGAATTACTTCCTGTGCCTTCAGGCATGTGCTGAGTTGGAATTCAACCCACAGTATTTTTCAGGACTTGAATTATCCCAAAGTATCCTTTGGTAGTCTTTGCCAATGTCTACCAACATCAGCCACCCAGTTAATATCTAACCTAAACCCTTCCTGCTACTTATTTAAGCCATTCATTTTCATAGGAGGTATGGGAGAATAGCAGGTATCCTTTTCTGAAATCTCTTCGCACTGTGAGCTTTTCTTTTGCTATGATTCAGAGTGAACAGAGCAAATAGGGAGAATCTCAAAGAACATAGATTATTTAATTCTCTGAATAATAAAAAGAATCAGGAAGAAAGTTACGTATTTGACTTTTCCATATATTTGCTCTGTGATCTTGGGAAAGTGATGTAACACCTCAAAGCTTCAATTTCTTTTTTTGTAATATAAATATACTTAAAACATTATTATAAAGGTTAAAAAGGGCAAGGTATACACAAAAATATTGCCAACTATGAAGTTCAATACAGATGTTATATAGAGTAATAATTACTCATTCATCATGAGGGGTAAGTCAGAAAAATGAGGGTAAAGTAAGCTTTGAGAGCATATAGAGAAATTAGAGTGTGCATTGCTGGTAGGAATATAAAATGGCCCAGCACTGTGGACAATATCACAGTGGTTCCCTCAAAACCAATAAACACAGAATTATCATAAGATCCAGCCAGTCCACTACTGCATATATAACAAAAAGCACTAAGAGCAGGGATTCAAACAGACATTTGTACACCAACACACACAGCAGCACTATTCACAACAGCCAAAAGTAGAAACTCAAATGTTTGTCCATGGATGAACCAACAAGGAAAATTCAATATATACATACTGTGGAATATTAGTCAGCCTTAAAAAAGGAATGAAGTTCTGACACCACTACAGGACAGGTGAGCTTTGAAGATATTATATTAAATGAAATAAGCCAGACACAAAAGGACAAAGATTGTATAATTGGTTCTCCTTAAAAAAGAGTAGTCAAATTCACAAAAATAGAAAGGAGAGTGGTGGTGGCCAGGAGGGGGAAAGGGCAGTGAGGAGCTACTGTTTACTGAGAACAGAGTTTCAGCTTGGGGTGCTGAAAAAGTTCTGGAGACGGATGGTGGTAATAATCACACAGTAATGTCAATGTACTTAATGCCATTGAACTATATAAGTAAAAATGGTTAAAATAGCAAATTTTATGTTATGTTTATTTTACCACAGTGAAAAAAGGACTACATGGCCCTAGTTGGCAGAGGATATGGGGGATACAAACAAAAGAAAAGATATGGAAGTTACCATTTTGCTGAAAAGACTGGACAATTCATAAAACAATCCATGGGCTGCTCTGAGAGGTGGGAGGAGGTGGTAGTGAGCATGCTGGGTTGGAATGACCAGAGAGTGCTGGCTTAGACATGCAGACCTGGGCTGGGCATAGATCTCAAATGGACACAACCAGAATCTTAATTATTTTTAGGCCTAGAAAGAATTTTCCCAGAAACTGCTCCTGCTGTCCCCACCTCAGAAAGCAGTGATTTTTCTCTCATTCCTACTTGAACATAGGGGTCAAGTTTTTTTTTAGTATTTTATATTGTGTACAGCCTCCATGCCAAGAGACCGCCTGGAGAGCTAGAGACTGGCGATCTTAAACACCCATGTGAAACTGGAGACTGGGAGGAATGGCAGAGAGAAAACCAAAAGACTGGATGTTGATTGACAAATTATCTGAGGTAAACTAAGATTAGCAGCAGTAAATCATTACTGTCATCAGATACCTACAGTTGAATTCCAATACAGAGGTTCTACATCAGAACTCTAAGTACACGATTTTTGGTGCGCCCAAAGAGATGAGCTCTGGTTTGGTAATGGCAGAAAGATGTTATGGTGGTAGGTTGCATATAGTGTGGTTGTTTGTGGTTGAGTGATATCATGGAAATAGCATGGACTTCAGTGACAGACTGCTATGAATTCATATCCCAGTTCTGTCACTGCCTAGTGAATTTGAACAATTATTTCACTTCTCATAGCTTCTCTGGATCTAGGATAATAATATCTAGACTCATCTAGGTATAATACCTCATCACTGAGTTTGGTATTATGACAGTTTATATAATGTCCATTAAACATAAAGGGCACTCTATTAATGAGAAGAAAATCAGCATAAAGTTTTCAATGGAGGTAGCTGTGATTGCTTCTAGATTATAATAAAAATACCTAACTTATACAGCACGAACATTGTCCCCAGAACTGTTCTAAAAACTTTATATTTTGAATTCTCAACCCTTGGCAAAACCCTATGAGGTAGGCACTATGGTTTTCCCCACTTTACATTTGAGGAAACTAGAGGACAGAGAGGTTAAGATACTTGCCAAATGTTGCAGAGCTGATACATATTGGCACCAGAGTGCATGTTCTAAACCAAGATAATACAGACCAGAGATGATAACTTGATAGTCTGTTATAAAACAAACCAAACATAAACCTTGGACATAAAAAAAATTATTGAAATAAAAAATTCAATAGGTAGGACTAGAGGAATGGGCACAATGAAAACAGAAATTAGATGTCTGAAAGCCTAGGAATGAAGCGCGAGGTGCGAAAAGATGCAAATTTAAGGGACTTGGAAGACAGTACTGTTAAGTCGTAGCATCTATCTAATAGGCAACAATGAGACTAGAGGAGAGGTAAAATCTGAAGAAATACTATGATGGAATGTCTTATAGTTGGAGATACATATAAATCCTCAGATTGGAAATGGCTCACCAAATACACAGCAGGATTAAAATAAACCATCACCCTACAAATTCAAACGGCAATGTACAAAGTTAATCTAAGTTCAGAACATCAAGTTTATAGTCAACGTGCTAATGGCTACAAAGGTAAACTGCTGAAGCTTCCAGAGAGGGTGAGGAAAAGACCATTCAAATTAATTCTAATCAGATTTGGCTTTAGATATTTCATCATCAGTACTGGGTGAGAAAAAATACAATGAACAATATCTTTAGTTTGCTGAAGGAAAAGACATTCAGATATAATTTCTGTATTCAGCCATAAAATCATTAAAATGAAAAGATGAAATAAGATGTTTCTTCAAATATCCAGGAATTCAAAATTTTCATAACCCAAAGCTCATCTCTAAAGGCTGAAAAAACTACTAGAGAATATACAGAAAAAATGAAACTAAGACTTAACCATGAGCTGCAAAAGCTAGCAAAAAAGTAATACAACTATTTTTTCTATGAAACATAAAATAATTCCTTAAAAACAATCAGGTGCCAAAATTTCAGATTATGTCAGCATGGGATGGGGAAGATGGAGGAGACATGTGGGATACACAGAACTTTTATACTGCTAGTCCTACAGCCAGATGTGGAAGATGGAAGGGAATTTAAGAAAATAAAAGCATGCTAAGAGCTTCAAAGAGAATCATGTATAGTGATTAACTTCAGATACTGTTAGAAAAATATAAATTAACCACTTATGATAAAAATTTAAGTGTGACCACTAGTGTAAAATCAGATTGTGCATGGTTTTCAAACCAGTAAACAAAAAGAGAAACAAAATTCCACTAATCCATGAAAAAGCTTAGTGGAAATAAGAGTATATGAAAAAAGGATGGTAAAATGAAAACACAAAATAACATTGAAGAAATAGGTCTATATAGATAAAAAATAACAATAAATATGAATTGGATATTTGCTTCATAAAAAGTAAAACAGGTTGAATTTCTTAAGAATCCAGCTATGTATAACTTAGCAGAGAAAGCCAAAATTGCAATCAACTCACAGTTTGAAAACATATACAAGTACTAACAGAAAGTTGACAACAGCACCATCAATGTGAGGCAAAACAGAATTGAAGCTCAAAAACATTAAAGTTTAAAAAAAGGATATTTCACATCATTAAATAATTCTGCAAGAAATGATAGTAATCATGAACTTCGGAGTTCCTAACATCATTTTGAAATACATGAAAAATTGGTCAAATCACAAAGGGAAATTAGCAAATCCACATCTTAAAGGTATGTTAAAGTCTCCCACTATGATGTACTGTGAGTAAAAGTATAGAGTATTTAAATCATTTAACTAACAAGTCTATGCTGATAGATAGCACAGAACTCACACTCAACAGAGAATACACAATTTGTTCGATTACCAGGTTAACATTTACAAAAACTGTTCCTGTAAAGGCCACAAAGGAAATTACAACAGATTTTTAAAAGATATATAGAGATATACAGATCACTTAACACAGGATCTAAAGATTACAAGTTAATAAAAAGCTAAATCCAGAAGTTTAGATATTTTAGTCATTTCTCAATAACTCATTGGTTAAAGAGAATATCAAAATCAAGGTTTCAAATTATTTAGAAATTAATGAAAATAAAAGCACTCTATACCAGAAACTATATGTTTTGTTCATGAGGAGATACATATGGCTTCAAATGCATTACATAAATGCATTAATATTAAATGCATTAACCCTAGAAACTAGGAAATAACTCACAGAAGCCCACAGAAAGTAGAAAGAATTAAAAATAATAAAAGCAGAGACAGTGAAACAGAAAACAAATAACTCCATTTCCTCTGCCTCCTACCTCATTTCTTTTCTCTCTTGTAGCAAAACTCTACAAAATGATCATCTATTATGTCTCCAGTTACTCTCCTCCATTAAAAAAAATATAATCCTTCTGATCAGGCTTCACCAAAACTTTTGTCAAGGCCACCACTTGTACATTTCAACTGAATTTTATTTGACCCATTAGTGAGTTGATCATGTAATTTATGTTATAATGTGGGACACTTTTGAGAGTAAAAGAGAATGCTGTTAGTTACTACACCTGAAAATAGGCATAAATCAGGACTTATGGTCACCGCATCTGTCAGCAGCATTTAACCCTACATCAATGCATGACATTGCATGCACAGAAAGTTTATTGAACAGATATCATTTATCAACTCCCCAAACCCCTCTTTTTTTTCTTTTTGTTGATAACTGAATAAAATAAAAGCCTTGGCAAGATTAATCAAGGAAAAAAGAGAAGCCACCAAAAAACATCAGAAATAAGTGAAAGTTCCCACATACACATAGATGAAAGATTTAAAATAATAGATATATGGAGATACATATAAAATTATAAGAGAATATTATAACTTTTTACTAATCCACTTGAAAACCTTGATGAAATGGGTCCATTTCCTATAATACAAATGATTAAATTTGACATAAGATGGAATAGAAAATCTGAATATATCAATTGCTGTTCTAAAAAAATTGAAAAAAAGCATTTCTCAGCTACACTGTGGGAATTGAAAAAGTGCCCTGCTTGGGCCAGTGTAACAGGGCATTAAGAAACCCTGCAGGGGAAACAAGATTTCAGCCAGGAAAGTCAAGGCTCTGTGCTCTGGCTGCCCAGCTCATGTTGAGATTTGCCAACCTTGTAGGATCTAGATGTTATTTATTGAAAGGAGCTGCTAGATTTCATTGCAGATGTATTTCCCATACTTACCCTCCTACTTAGAAATACTAAGTCCTCTCCTATTTTGTCGGAAAATTAGGTTAAAATAATAAAAGGAACCTGAACTAGATGTTAGAAGATCATCAGATCCTCACTTCAACCACCATGTATTTCAGGGGCCAGGAAGTCACTTAGCCTTATAGGACCTCGAGTTCTTCACTACTACCACTGAGAAGGACACAACTAGCCTGTTTATCTTGCAGGTATGTTTTGGTTTGTTTTTGAGAACTAAAAGTGAATAAACATCTGGTAATGAGTAATAAGGGACATTAGTTTGAAGGGTATGTGTTGAACCAAAAAGGAAAAATATGAAGACACATCAGTTACAATGTAATTTGCAAAACCTTTTCATCTTCCATCCAGCAGAACTCAACTACCTGTGTCCTGCCATTCCAGATGTGCCCTGAGCATGTCTCCTTGTACTGAGGTCCTACACAGAGTCACTATGGTAGCATCCCCAGCAATTTCTTAAATGTCTGCTCACTAAGTAATTCTGAAATAAAGGGAAAAGGGTTAGGGACAACTTTAATCATAAGGAAAATACTGAGATATGTTCATTATTCTCTGAGGAGGATGTCCTCAATATAGAAAGATTTCCTGTGGAATGCAGAGTGAATAAAAATGTTGGTGTTAAAAAGAATAGCTATATAGAAAGCAGCTTTTAGGGTGACAGCATTCAGAAGCACCTAGGAGAGTTTAAAATTTCATATGCATTTTTGTAAAGCTTGGTGATGATTGGTTTTATCCCATTATTTCAAATCTTGTTGAAAAAAGAAATAATAAAGTAATTAAGTCTATAAAAAAGTTAAGTTCAGTGATGAACTCTCAACATAAAAGCAATATACCATATGAAAGGTCTTTGAAATAAAAGAGGATGGAGAGAAGGTTATGCTAATGAAATTTCATCTCTAGGGTCATATATAATCAAGCTCCTCCAGTATAACTGCTTTTTTATTATATTCTTATGTCTTATTCACTTGTTTGTATTCTGAGTATTCTAAGACTACATCTATGGCAGAATAAAACTCTTTGTGTCTGTAGATTTTATATTCTAGTGGAATATTTTTATATAAATGTTTTCATCAAATTGCCAAATCAATGACAATTTATGGAATATGAAGAGCTGAACTAATAAATTTGTTTGTAGAGAAAAAAAGAAAGTTTCATTGCTCCTGAGCTCTTAAATATTGATCTTTCATGTTTTCTAAAGTGATACAAAAATGTATTTCTAGTACCAAAATATATAAACATATGAAAGAATAAAGAAAAGTTCGTATCAAGGAGTTACAGAATATGAACTTTGGAAGATAATTTGAAGCCAAATGTATGTAGGGTCTTGAAAACTTTAGCTTGGGTGGAACCTCACAGATCACCTGATATCTAATGAATCTCTTAATCTTATTTTCAGAGAATGGAGGTCCCAAGAATCCCTGCAAGTCTTACGAGCCCTTCCCAGGTGCACAAACCAGCATTTATAATTAGGAATCTGGCCTATAGACAATGTGTAACCCCTGGAGATTTTGAGTTGGATTAAAAGAATGGCACAATCATAATTGTTTCAGAGAGATCTCTTTTGGTGATTGGATCAATCAGGTTGAGGAGATCGTTAAGGTCAGTTAGGAGTCTCTTGTAATGTGCTGGACCTGGGGTAATAAAAGCCAAGACAAAGACGATACCCAAGGAAATGGGGGAAAAGGGACAGAAATGGAAACATGGGTTGGAGTCTCTGCATTTATATCACAGTCACGTGGCCTCTGCTACTGAATCTGTGGCTTAACGTCCCTCATGTTTCATATTTGAAAAATGGAGCTGAACTAGATGATCTTTATATTCCCTAAATTTCTCTTTTTAAAGTTAAACTAGCCTAACTTAATTGATCATCTTTTGTTAGGCAGGAAGCCAGAAGTGTGAGGAAAAGTAGGGGTGACCATAGAAGAGTTGAGAGTACACATAGCTTTCATCAGTGAGAAGATCTCTAGCAGGAGGAGTAAAACCACAGAGAAATCTACAAGCTAGAGTCCAAAAGGACATACTCCTGGGGTGTCCTGAAGTGACTTATCCTCATTACAAAGTCGTTATAATAAATCTGCAGTGTGGGTTAGCCCCTCTTGGTGGGCAATCACAGAGAAATCTGGGAAAAAGCACATGCAGTAAAAATTAGCTTACATCATTGCCAGCCTGTCACTCAACATTGTTTGCATAACAATACCAATCTGAAAAACCCCTTGCAAACCCCATAAAAAGGAACTCTCCTGAATATTCAGGGATGTCTGACACTACATTGGGGCCCCCTGTATTACAGAGATTAATAAACTAGGTTTGCTTTCTTGACATTAGTGTCACCTCTCACTCTGACTTCTCTGTCATCAAACCAAACTCCTTCCTAACACTCTGAAGCAAAGATTTTTGACTAAATAATGCTTAATAGACTGGACAAGAGAAATT